ATATCACAAGACTTTTAACCAATCAAAATTAATATAAATCATTTGATAATACTCAGCTCTAAAAATTCCTTTTTATACCCTTTTGCGCCAAGAATTCCATTTTATTCTTATATATATATATATGAACTTTTCCGGGTCCCTGATCTGCATAAAGTGCAGATCATTTAAAATATGAAACTTCAGACTTTCAAGTTTATCATTTATTATTTATCAAATTAAGTCCGTGAAAAATCTGATCAGCGATATAATTATATGATTACATGTCATATATATTATTATCAGGTTTTAAAGGCAAATCCAGTATATAATAAATTATAAAATTAAAAGCCGAAATATCATTCTTCTCTCATTTATGATAGCTCATCAATCGAAATTAACAATTATAACAATTTTATTATTTATTTAATTTTTTATTTACTGTAATAATATAAATGCTATTAACATATTACTGTATACCACACTTAATATATCTTCTGCAAAAATTTTGTATCCTAAAACTTGTTTCTTATGTAATATTTTACGATAAGATTTTTAAAATCTGCTTGGTTATGATTAGGAATGGAGCCGGCTATTAGCCATAGCAATATTAGTCAGCCAAAATTGTAGCCGATGTCAGATTTTTAACTTACTTGTTGATAAAATAATAATTATACTTAATTTGACAAGATAGCACATTGGCGGATCTGATTGATAGAAGAACCCATATTCATAATTCTGGTCAAATTTACAGATCATTTGGCCAGATCTAGAACAATTTTCTTGGTAGTACTCAAATGATTCTATACATTTTGGCTTCATACATTTTACTTATCTTTTTTTTTTTATCTCAGTTTGTTACATTTTTTTTCATTCGTTTGTTTTTTTATTTCCAATTAACTATCTTATTTCATACTAATTTACATTATATATTATATCATTCATTCATCATTTTATCTATCAACACCATCGCTAGTTGGTTTTATTATAGCGCAATCAAAATTCAGCAGATCGGCCAATTGGAAGTAGGCAATAATGACAACTAACAATATATTATAGAAAAATTAGTGTCTGAGTAATTTTACTCAGCACGTTTATTAGCAAAATTTATCAATTGCGACATTCTGACCCAAAATCTTGGCTACGTAATTAATCTATTCCGATTTACGACATATCACGGCACGGACATTTGGACCTGCCTAACTACTAGTCTTGAACAAAACTTCAGATATACCATTATTTTTAAATGAAGGATTCAAATTAATCTCTTGGATACTTTGCATCGTTTATATACTAGTTATAATGATATTTGACATATGGGGTCTTTGCCTTGAAAATGACCTTACGGTATCATGTAACGTAAGGTCATTTTCAAGGCAAAGACCCCATATAATCAGTACAATATCTAGATTGTGAAATTAAAGACGTACTCAAGCACCTACCTTAATTGACGCAACAAAGGATCTGATTGGTCTGTTTTATTAAGCTGGCCAATCGGATTTTTTATAGAATTCATTTAGATATGTACTTGAGAACGCCCTAAATCGTAAGTTTTTGCAGGCTGATTCTTCAAATCAGGTGACAGGGCATAATTTTGATATCTCATTTTCCTGGAATGCCATTAAAACCGATAACAAACTTTCCCGTTAATGATTATCTGCAATTTCTGAAACTACGTAAACTATGGGTGTTCTCAAGCATCAACCCAGATGCGAATCGAAATAGTGTACAAATATTATGACTATTGACATAACATTTTGGATAAAAGTCAAATAATATGAATGACAATATTATTAAGATATGTTCAAACATTATTATTACTGTGGTTTTCTGGTAATTGTAACGATCTCAGTTGTAACAATAGATCAAAATAAAGATCTCAATCACTACTTGAGAAGGTTCTAAAATAATTTATCAAATAATATGCGTCGATAATGAAAATCCATAATAAAAGTATGACAACATTTGAGCAATACTTTATACACTCTAAATATTATAAAGTTTTGATAAGTCAGCGCAAAAAAAAAGTGTGGCTTGGGGCAAAAAGTTTTTTAACTAAAATTCATTGTTCGTTTTTTTACTATTTAAAATTTTTTTTTACGTAATAAACTACCTTGTTTATATTAATGACAAGCTCAATTGATCAATTAAAAATAGTTTCCTTAATTAAAATTTAACTCCCGACAAATTTTCAACATACTTTAACCCATTAATTGAAGCGCTTGAGAACGCCCTATATACTATTAAATTCATGTCAAGGAATAAAATTGCTTGATTAGGGAAAAAAGTATTCTATCGGTGAATGACTGTCAGAAAATTAGGCTACCAGTATTATTAGAAAGTGGACATCAGGAAATATTTTAATGTAGAATATGGTCTTTTTTGAAAATTTTTGGATATGTAGCAAATAGATGATATTGCCGAGTACTAAAATATAGTGTGCAAAATAACATAACAACTTCCTTTGTACAAATATTTTCGATTTCTATATGTAGCATAATAATGTCAATAAATCTATTTTCGTCCGGAGCATATTGAGGACGATTTATATGTATAGATCAGGTTTCGTGTGATCTTATCCACAAAATTTCCAATCACATGACACATACAAAATTCTTTAGAGTTCGTTTATGTTGGTTAAATATACAATAAAATTGCACAAGGAAATTTTTTGTTAGACAGTTTCTTAGGTAGTTTTGGATTTTCAAGGTTGTGATATGTTACACTAAGACCTGATTTATTATTGGATAAATTTCATGTGATTGAAAAAATTTTATTTAGTATTTTTGTGACGATCCTGGGGTAGTTATCAATTTATCTAATCACCCGATTCTACTAATAAATTTACTCACCGGGACATTTAACAGTGATTGTTCCTAGTAAATTATTTACAAACTTCCTTTAGATTATGGCATCAACAAAAAAAATTAATAGAACGATTTTGGTCCGCAAAAGGCTTCAATTATATCTCGAGGGTGATGCACCTTTTGAGAATTTTCTTGCGAAAGATGTTTAGTATTTTTTTTGAACCCATACGATATATATTGTTAAGTTAATATCTAATGAATACATGCTTACCTTTTTTTAAAAATAAAAAATAAAAATAAAAATTGTAGATGATAATAACGGATTCAGCTGATGGTAAAATTAGTTTCGAAATAGCTATTCAAGAATATCATCTGGTATATGAAGCTTTTATTATAAATCCTTAAAGCTTAAATAAATGGAATCAATTCGATTAAAAATATTTAATATAAATACAATAGAATGCCTCCAAGTCACTTCATGTAGGGATGATAGCAGCAATAGTCGATTTTTGTGGTTCGATAGTTTCTGGATCTAAAGGAGTGCGCCTTACAAGTGTTAGTACGGATCTAAATGTTTCATACGTCGCATCAGCGAGATATGGTGATACTATACTTGTGGTAATAATTTTTTTTTCTTTTGAAAAATTTTCGCGTAATTAATTAATAATTTTTTTGTCGTTATCGTCTTAAATTTTATTCTTAGAATGCAGAATGTGTAAAGCTTGATAAACAATTTGCATTTACCACTGTAGATATACACAATAAAGCTGATGGAAGGTTAATAGCTCAAGGCAGGCTTACTTTGTTAGTTATTAGTATCCTTAATGACCCTGAAAATGAATTTATGAATGAAACCGCAAAGTTGTAAAATCTATTGAATTAAGTAACTTCTCTAAATTTTATAGTTTGGGAGTATTTATGTGTATTTTTAAAATCTAACTTCGTCATTGCTATCCAAACAATTCAAAAACAAAACCAAGTTATTATAAAAAAAAATGAAATAAATAAGTTGAATAATTTTTTTATTATTTTATAATTTTTTGCTAACTTTGATTTAGAAAAACCAATAGGCAGATGCTTAATATTGTCGAAAACTTTAAAATAGATTCCACGCAAAGTTATTTTTCTTTTTGATTACCAGCACCTAAATTTTTCAAGATCTCGATTTTTTTTTAAAAAAAAATTCCGTTTGAGTGAGCGTGATTTCTATAGTAATTTACTGTAAACACTGTCTATGCAGCAAAAACATTGATCTTGACTCACCTGACCCATTTTTCTTGAACCATCCTGAAGAAAAAAAAAAATACACGTCTTTAATCCATATATAAATTATTTAATGCTTATCGCTATGACTGGTGATTTTTTAGATATATAGTCTTTAACGTTAAGATTTATTGATTAAAATTAAAGTTTGTACTAGTTAAGTATTAAAAAACAAAGTTTACGCAACCAGACATATACTTAAGTTGAACAAATTGCTAATTTATTTTGATATTTTATCTTAGCAATTGCATATATAAAAGTTTTAGCTAACAAAGATAAGTAATCTGTATATTTAATAAAGTGAAATAAAGTTTCATGTTGTGTAGTTCTTTAATTAATAATCATTTAAAACATTATTGATTACATGGGTCAAACGATGTGTATTATTTTTTTTAGTGCGGGTCAAAAAAGATGGATCAGGTGGGTCATGCTCAATGTTTTTGCATCTATGTAAGCATATACCAAAAAGCTACTATTATTGAGTTTGTCAGTGTATTATAAAATTTACAAATAAATTTTTGTATAGTGTACAAAACACGTTTATTAGATATTAAATTTAAAGAATGGTATTAGTAGTTGATCTAACAAAAGAATCTAATTGGCCTACTTGACCAATATTTGTCAATAAGTGTCGACTTCGAATTAATCAACTAAGGCCGTTCTCAAGCACCTCACTCAATGGATCGGACGTAAATTTTTAATTAGTCGGAAATTAATCAATCGAGTTACCAATTCGATCAACAAATCAACGAGATACAACCACCTTTTTTCTCCAAAAATTTACCATTGATAAAGATCGCTCAAGCACTACTTTTACATTTTAACATATCAAGCATAATAAACAATGAATTCAAAATAAAATTCACAACAAAATTCACAACAAATTTAACCGGTCTAAAAAAATAGCCACTTTATTTTTAATGCTCGAAGCTTTTAAAACAAATAATCGACACCTAGATATGAACGTAATTAATACAACCTATTTTTTAACATTTAACCAAACCGTAATGAATACTGCTATTCCATTTTTGTTCATATAAGCTTTTTTACTTCTTGTTGCTGCAAAGCAACTTTCGCTAATGACTCCATAAGTTGCTGCTGTTGCAACAAAAGGTTAACATTGGTAAAATCATTAAAGGGAGAAGCCAACGTAACCGAAGCTGAAGATTCGGCAGTCGGTTGAACAGAATTTTTTTTATTGGATTTTTTTAGACGTTTTAGGCGGCATAACGAAGATCAAGAAAAATAGAAAAAGAGTATGCTCAAGCATTTAATTCTATAAATATCGCCATTGATTGTGATGCTTGAGCGTCATCACGATCATTCTTTAATCAATTGATTTAGATGTTTGAGTACGGCCTAAGTAAATACATTGGTCAAATATAATTTTGGATCAATCAACTGATCAAAGAAATCCAAAATGCAACTATTTATAATAAAATTTAAAACTGCCTTGAAATTTAAATCTACTTAAGTGAATTCTGAATTTATAGTTCAAATAGATTAATTCGGGTTGACAGCAAGTCAACAGATCGAAAAGGGAGCTAAGCAAGGAGGCACCAGCGCGCTGACAATCACTGCATAGCCAGAATGCCGACAAGAAAAAACCGGTTCGGTAATGGTTAATGAAGGAAGGCGCAGACTGAGATGCGTAGTTTAATCAATTTCCTAATCAGGACAATTCATATGAAGCCAACTAACAAAGTTTTCTGTAGGTATAAAAGCGTGCTAACGGAAGAATAGAAGGCTGCAGCCCGGCAACGAGAGAAAATTCGCAATGAGCAAAAAAGGCACACACAACCCGACAGTTACTAGGAACGAAAGCTCAGTTTCTAACAAATCTACAGAAACAGTAGCAATGTCACCCAGCCAAAATCAAGAAGCACAAAATTCGGACGGAAGCATAGACGTTCAAACAAAGGCATATATAGATACGGTAATGCAAGCGACAACAGCAGCTATAATGTGAAGCATGCAACAAATGATGGACCAGCAACTGGAGACTCAGAGGCAATGGAACGTACAATGTATGGAAACTATCAACCAAAGGTTTACGCAGCTTGAACAAATGAACCTACAATACGACAACAACAACAATAACAACAACATCGAGAGCGTCCAGACCACTTTAGAGAACATCCAACAAAGCACTGAGAGGTTAACGGAGAAGCGAGGATACCACAAGGTAATTACCTCCCATCCTCAGACATCAATATGTTAATTAGAGCTAGTGTGAAAGGTACAAACGGAATTGGGACAGAAAAATACAAATCAACAACCAGGAAGTACCCAGCAATAAATTATAAAGCAATAAAGGAGATGCCAACAGTACATAGATTCCAAAATCAAAAAGCAGCAGAAACAGAACGCATTCGCCTCTGGTGGGTTGTGAATTGGACAGAGGGGTAGAAAATGATAGAAACCCTTCCCCATAAGCCAAGCCTATGCAATAAATTGTGGAAGGCATTGGCACTTGGCGCATTCGCAAATCTACAAGAATTCATGCAGAAAAATCTGATTGATAATGTGAGAGAAATGGACAATGACACAACATTGGAAATGTCAGGGTGGTGCCATATTCATTTGGAAACGCAAACGTACTGCAGCATTCGAAAATATTTCTGAATGGTTAATGGCATTTAAGGCATACATGGATGCCGTTTTAATACTGTATGATAACAGTGAGCAAGAGCTGAACTCTTACAGAGACCACATAAACAAGCTATGTGTCAAGTATGAATTCACGGCAATTATGAGGTACGATGAAGAGCACCGTGTAGCGTTAGTAATGAACCGGGACTCGACATTATTTGATAGAAGCATCGAAGCGGAGGGTAAGAACTTTGACGCAACGATGATAAAAAAGTTCAAAGATGGGTGGCGCCGCCCTGGTTGGATCAATACGCAATGGACGGAAGGTAAAGAAATTTGTCTTAACTATAATCGGCGGTCATGCCCAGAAGAAAGAAACTGCAGCAGAATCCACGCATGTTTGATATGTAGAAAACTAGGCCACAGCAAGAAAAATTGCTTCCGAAAACATCCAAGAAATAGAAGTAATGAGTAAAAATTAAAAAAAAAAAAAAAAGAGGATAAAAAGAATAGGGGAAAGGTAATATTATTAGCTAAGGAGCTCACATAAACGTATTGTATATAAGTGAGCGTGACATCAACATAGTAAAAAAAAAAACAAGAGAAAAAGAGAGGTCACGATAATGAAGTATAGACTAAGGACGAAAGATAACGTGAATAAAGTATCCATGTGAAATTATGCTTTTTATCTTCTTGTTATATATATATATTTACATGTGCTATTGTTCGAAAGTATAAGCAATAAAGTAGTGCAAATACAACGTAGCCGTACTAACAAAAATATTATGTTCTTGAAATGTAAATATATAATACATATATATATATACGGAAATATACATATACATAAAATAAAATAACATACAGCAACTAATCAAACGCGAAAATCGATGAGATATACAGCCCAGTTCAAAGCTTCCAGGGCAATTACGGCGCACGCAGAGCCATATCTACAATCGGTAGAACTAACCATCAACACAGTTCCCCCAAGAAGCAATCCACTCACACAAGAGGAAGCGGCAATCTTGGCACAATTAGACCCGGCATAGTTCAATATATCAACCCCAATTAACAAACTGGCATTTGAGTACCTTACACGCGAACACCCAAACAAGGCATTTACCCAATATTTGAGGAATGGCCTTGATGAAGGCTTTAGATTTAATTTCGCAGGCAAGCGTACAGTAACAATACAGGAAAATTTAAAGTCTGTTGAAATAGAACCAGAAACATTAGGGAAGTACGAATTAGCAACCGGACGCATGTGTGGCCCATTTATATTGGGAAACCCCCCATGTTCAGCATTTCAGATAAACCCATGCGGCTTGGTAGAGAAGAAAGAAACTAACCCAAAGATATATCGAGTGATATCGCATCTATCTGCACCTGCTGGCACAAGTATAAATGACGGTATTGATGGATTAGACTTTGCGACTAAATACGAGAATATAAACCACGCGATAAGGTAGATTACACGATACAGAAAAGGGTGCATGTTATCAAAAGTAGACATCAAGGACGCCTATCGTATTTTACCAGTGCATCCGGTTGATCAATTACTCCAAGAGATGCTATATGATAATAAAATATACTTCGACAAAGCATTGGCATTTGGAAATAGGGCTTTGGGTGGTATTTTCTGCAGGTTCGCGGACATGGTCACGTGGATCGCAGTGCAACAAGGAATAAAATCGATCATACACTATGTTGACGATTTCCTTATAATATCTAAAACAAGCACAGAGAAGGAACTACAACAATTCTTGCGCATTTTAGAAGTAATGAACATCCCATACAAACCATCGAAATTGGAAGGTCCTTGCACGGCTCTAACTTTTCTCGGCATTCATATTGACACCGTTAATTTTTTCGCATCTATTCCCGATTCTAAGAAAGAAAAAATATTAGAGATAATATCTGAATGGAACGGCAAGGTGTGGTCTTACAAAAAAGAGATGCAGTCATTGGTGGGCTCCCTTATGTGGCTATGCCAAACAGTACCCCAGGGCAGGCTGT